TTCTAACTGAAGTTGTTCAAGAGAAGGCAACCCCTCCCCCACAAGAACAGAACCAGGAAACAGCAGCAGAAGAAGAAGAATTTCAGCCACGAATCCAATCTCAAGTCTTGGAGATTCTCACCACTCCTTGTGAGATCTCCAATCCTACTGAAATTGAGATCCCGGAAAAGTCAGCTGAAATTCCGGAACAGTCAGCTCTTCCAGAAACAATGGAGCAAGCTGTTGAAGCACAGAGGGATTCTGGAGAAGCTGCAAAGGAAGATCAAATGGCAGAACTAGAGGTCTCTAAAACTCAAGTAGCCATCTCTGAAGAAGAGAATACAGCTGAAGAAAGAGACTCCCTCTCTAGGGATATATCAAATTTTGCGCTTGAAACAGAAGGAAAATCTGAAAGAACGCTGAAGGTTACTGATGAAGAAGATGTCCAAGAAGATGCTGAATCTCTTCCTATGCAACTCTTCCAAAGAACACCATCATCTCATCAGGTAACCAACTTTCATTTCCATAGCTCTTCCACCCCTGCTCTTCCGGATGAGATACCGGAAATCTGGACAAAGAAGGTCCAAGGGCTGATTGAATCAGCCATAGCATCTCAACATGCCTCCTTTAGGCAAGAGATAGAACAAATGGAAGTCAGGCACACCCAGCTAATAGAGAAGTCTGAAGGAAAACACAGCGCAGATCTCAAAGAAATAAGCAAATCAGTGCAGAAGACTCTGGAGATTATCTCTCTATTGAGTGAAACTGTGAGCAACACGATGGAAATATATGCCTCTGACAGTCAACTTCATCTCAAAGAGATCAACAAAGTCAGAGAGCAAATAGCGAATGTCACAGTTAGTCTCCAAAAGCAGATGTCCCTTCTCCAAATGGACATCAGATCAGCCCTAGCAGTAGCTTCTGCAAATCAGATAGTGACCAAAGACTACTTCAAGGTGATCATTGACAATCAAAAGGAAGCATTCAAGCTGTTCAGACTTATTGGTGCAAACTCTTGAAACCGCAAGATGGAAGTAATTCTCCAACAACACAGTCCATCTCCAATACCACAGCTTCCTATTGCAATCAAAGAAGGAGAAGTATCTTATATTCCTTCTCATCTGAACTTGACAAATCTAATCCTTGAAGCACAGCAAAGAAATCCGGAAAACTCAGCACAACTTCTATCCAGCTCAG